GTTGTTTCTTGGACATACAGTGTGTGCTATCTCTGTGGGTGTGATTAGTTTTGTGTCAGATGCATTTATTCCTGCTGTGTGACACCCATTCAGGGGCCATGGGACCGCGTTAGCCTTTTCTGGGGCTGACAGCAGTGAAGAACCCTGGTAGAATTTTAGCGGCAACACCTTCCTTGTTAATACGGGTTTCACTTCCAATAACAGACCCTATTGCCACACTGTTCATTTACTTAAAGAAAAGTGTATGAAGAATTTGTAACTTAAACCAGGCCAGACTGTTTTGGCTCTACCCAACAGATGAGACATGGATATTAAAATAAGTTTTAAGAAACTGATTTGCTTGGCTCTTTCTGTTTTTGCTCTTCGTAGTGCTGGCAGGAGCTGTTTGAGGGGCTTGGGGGGTGCCAAGACCAGGAGGAAGGATGGAGAAGGGCGGTGCTCAGCAGCTCAGAGCAGTGGGATCTCTGCTTCACAGGAGGGAAGCACGCCCTGCACAGGCTTCTATTGAAAATTACCAAGTCTTGTTTAATTACTGATACCGATCTGGTTCTGGAACGTGGAGGAAGACATCAGCTTGGGGTTAATCCCTCATTTCTAGCAGAGCAGTAGCTGCCTTTAAAAGCTGTTTATGTGCGGGCCACAAAGAAACCCTCTTTGTGCCTGCTGATGAAACTGTCAGCCTCCCCCTCTGCCCTGGCTGGCGGTGCCGCGAGCTGGTGGCCACAGCCAGGCCCTGGGACTGCAACAAGAAATTCAGCTCCTTCAATTTCAGTCTCGGCAGCTTTCAAACTACACAATGGAGAAGGAACAAAGACCTTGGCAGCCGAAGGCAACGAGTCTGCTTCACCCACTGAGTGCCAGCTCCTGTGCCCAGCTCCCTGCGGGCGCACTGCGAGCACTGTGCGAGGTATCCCCGCGAGGTGACGCACCCGCCCGCTGCAGGACGAGGGGTGGTGGGTGAGGATTCCTCTCCTCCTGATGTCGCCTGCTGTGCGCTCAGGGTAAGAATGAGCTTTCAGCGAAGCATGGGTGAAACTGAACACTGGGAGCAGCTCGGCTCCCTCTGCACTGCTGCAGCTGATTTGGTTTTGGGCCCCTGTGCCAGTGGGGATGATGCAACACAGATTTGGGCAGCAGGAGGTGGTGGTAGCGCTTCAGCAGCAAATGCAGGAGCTGAATGCAGCCGTGGCCAGGTACCTGTGGGGCGTGTGGCATGCCCAGAGCAGGGCCATAAGCAGCATTATAGGAGTTCAGCTCACCGCCAGCAGGAATGAGGCTTCCCAAGGGGCTGCCTCGCTGGATGCTTCGCCTCATACGTTAGCGGTTAGGCGTCATGCTATGAAACGAGCTCCCTTCTGCCAAATAGGCCAGTCCCAGTTTATTTTGTGACCTGGCAAACCCTCGATGTGAGGTTTGCTACTGCTGCCAGCGTCTCCCTGGGGTTTGCTGCTGGAGGATGTTATTTTCTGGGTGCTAAAGCTTTAAACCTCGCACCACCCAGAACGGAGAGGAGGTTTTACAGCACAGAAGCAGGGCTCTCACCCAGCACGGGGGCAACTTTCCTACTGCCTGCTGCTGCCTTTTCCCCCCGGGGCCGTGCCGACAGTGCCCGTGGAGCATCCGTGCACCCCTGCAGCGCCCACCCTGGGCAGGGCTGGGGGCGAGAGGCCAAGCAAACACCACGCTGCTCGGCCTCCCCTCGCACGTTCACGCCCAGGGCCAGGCGTCTTGGCCACAAGGACGCTATTGTCTCTGCCAGGCGGGGGAGCGGGAGCCGGGGCCGGGGCTGAGAAAAGCTCCAAAAGCTCTCATTTCATGCGTTAACTGCGTGGGGGCGCGAAGGCCGGGAAAAGCCGCTGGCGCGTGCTGTCTGGTGAGGAGCCGCGAGCGGCTGCCAGCGCCGCGCTCACCTCCTTGCGTCTCCCCAGCTCCCGGCCCTGGATCTCGCCGTGGGATCGCTCGCTGCAGCCTTTCCTCTCCCTCCGTCCTTCGGCTGCAGCTCGGCTCTTTCCATCACTCCCTGTTGCCAACTGTCAGCCCACTGGCTCAGCACAGCTCGATGCCGCGGGCTGGGCCGGCGGAGCCAACCCTCGCCCCGTGGAGCTGAGGATACCGGCACGTCCCGGCTGGCCCAGGGATGTGGTGGGGAGCAGCAGGGTGAGGGTGGGAGGCTCGGCCTCACAGGTGCTGCTGCCAGGTTTACAAGGTACTTGGCTTCCATCCGCGTTCACAGAAGCAAAAGGCAGAGCTCTGCTCAGCACCGTCCTCGCTTGACCGAAGCCGCCGGCAGCCCGGGCACTGCGAGCATGCGTTGGCCAGGGGACAGGCCAGCCCTTCAGTCATGTCCTCCCTCTTGGCCTAGCCTTGATTTTGCCTCAAGGTCAGGGCTGGAACCCTGCTTTGCTCAGTGTGTCGGCTCGTCCCAGCTCCTGCTAATCCTGACAATCCGCCCGCTTGCACCCAAACCCAGGAGAGCGGCCAGGACGGTGCCGAAACCCCTCCAGGAGAGAGGAGACAGCGAGGGACCAAGGCAGAAGGGGTCATGGCCAGGGCTACGAGGTGAGGCAGTAGCGGAGGTGGAAGAAAAGAGTCCAGGGCCGCCCACGTGGCCCCACTTCGTGCTGCTCCCACTGGGAATGGCCACGGGACAGGGCAGGAGCCTGGTCCAGAAGCTGCCGCTCGGGATGTGCCGTCCCCCGCTGCTCTCCAGCTGCCTTCCCTCCCGGCCCCGCGTCCCGGTGCTGTGAACTTGTGCCTGAGTCACGAGGAGAAAGTGGTGGTGTTTTTTTTTTTTTTAGAAGGCGATTTTCTCGCAAAGGGCTGGAAATCCGTGCAGCCCCTTTCCGGGTGCCCCGGAGAGCAAGGAGCAGCCGCTGGATCGGGGGGCAGCGCTCCTCCCCGGGCAGCCCCCGGCCTCGTCTCGCCCCCGCGTCGGAAGGGCAGGGACCTCGGCGCTGGCCCTCCCAGGGCTGGAGCGCCCTGAAATTCCTCGTGGCAGCTTTGAGCGAGCACATCTGGTTTTAATAAATTATTTGCAGCTTGAACTTGCCTGACTTCTAAGGGCTGCAGAAGAGAAAGCAGCAAAAGAGCCCCGCCAGCCCCAGCAGAGCAGCCCCAAAGGGACCGACCCCGCTCACAGCGAGGGGGTCCGGGGCCAGCCGAGCCCCTGGGGGACCCCTGCTGCTGGCAGAGCCCCTTCAGCTCCTTGCAGGAGCCGCGGGGGCGGCCGGCAGGGAGGCAGGGAGAGGGCTGCTCTGGGCCAGGAGCCCGCTCCCTGCAGCTGGGTGTTGAGCAGAGCCAGGGCTGACGGCCGTCTTGGCTGGGCTGGTGGTGTCTCGGAGATCGGGCGCGGTGCCTCCCCCGTGTCCCCGGACTGTGCCCGTGGTGCCTCCCTGGTGAGATCCCTGCCCGATGTCCCCGCTCCTCCACAGCCAGGAGGGTGCAGCTGTGACCTCTGGGGACGAGTCCCTGCCCCAGCCCCATGCAGGGGGACGCATCCAGCCCCCCAGCCCAGCCCTGTGGCTGCCGACTGCTCCTTGCTGCTGGCGCTGCAGAGCCCAGCGTGAGTCCTGGGGAGGGACAGGGACATGGGGACCCTATCCATGGCTGGGGCAGGGGATTTTTGTAGGGTTTCCATGGGGACCCCTGCTCCTGCCACCCCATCCCCACCCTGGCATGCAGCTCTCAGAGCCTGCCACGAGTGCTGGGGGATGCGGGGGTTTGCTGGGATGAAGGAGCAGAAGTAAAACAAACATTTCTCTTCGTGCTGCTTCCTCATCCACACCCATTTCTACCCCTGATCCCTGCGACCCCGCAGCAGCGCATTCCCCAGCAGAACACCCTCTCCTTTTTCCTGGCTCCACCGGGCAGGGCTGCGATGCTCGCGCACAAACCCAGCGCCGCTGCGCCCTCCTTCCCTTTTGGCCCCTTCCAGGCTGGGTCTCCCCATCGCCAGGGGCAGGCTGCGACCCCCCCGCAGCCTCCGCTCCTCCCGGCGGGCGGGGAGCAACGTGGCCTTCCCCGCTGCCGGCGCGGGGGAGAGAGGAGCCAGCAGACGCCGAGACGGCCTCTTCCCTAAGCGGTGACCTCAGCGCGGTGATGCTTGCCAGGTGGGTGTTGATCTTGGCCCAGTCGGCCTCGTTCGGAGGCCAGGATGAGGCCGAGGTGGTGCGGACGGAGGCTGAGCTCGTGGCCGAGCCTGGCAGGTGCTGTCGGTCCCCATCCCGGCCGAGTTGGGCACAGGGAAGAGGAGCCTGTGGCACCGAAGCCCCTCGGTGGCTGGGCTTTGGTCCTGGGGCTGCTGTCCTGGAGCCTCGTCCTGCGGAGAGCCAGGGGCACGGGGACTCTGCTGGTCACAGACACAGCAGCAGCAGTGCCCTGGGTGGTGCTGCTCTGTCCTTCAGGGCAGCTGCCTGAGCCCCCGATGCTGCTCTCATGGTCCACGGGCACCCCGACCCCGTCCTCTAACACCCGTGGTGGGAGCGAACACCGACCCTGCCCCGCATGGAGCTGAATTCAATACCCAGCTCTCTGAGCACATCTCTGACCCTGGGCTCTTCAGCCCTGGGGTTTGTTCAATCCTTCAGGCTCCTTCAGAGCAGCTCCCAGCCTCGTGGTTTTATCTGAGGTGGTTCCCCAAGCCCTAACGCCCTCGGTCTTTAACAAAACCACGTCTGAGAAACCGGCCTCCCCCTCTGCGCAGCCTGGGGCTGCCAGGCAGCCGCATGGGTTGTTTTCCCATCCCAAATAGCTGGGTGACAGCTGGGTCCCACGGCTTGCTGGCGACGTTTCTTTCCCAGCCTGTGGGACACTGAACAGCCCCGATTCCTGCCAGTATCCCCTAAAAGCCCAGACCCCCACCCAAGGAGAGCTCACGGCACAGATCGAGCTCAGAAAATATTTTCTAACCCCTTCTGCAAAAGCAACTTGCATTCAAGCTGGATTTCACCCTGGCTGTCCTGCTGCAGCCCCTCCACTGTGACCATTCCATGGCCAATAAGTGGCTTTTGCCAAAACCCAGCATTTATTTAAGTTTTTCCAAAGAGGGGACAGATGCAGATGCTCTGGCCGCGGGAGCCAGCAGCAGCCTGGATCTCCCGGTGCTGACTAAGCTGGGACGAGCCCGTGGCCCCCGGCCCCCACCCGGTGCAAAGAGACAGCCCCAGAGCTGTCCCCGGCATGCGGCCGTGTCCCCTCGTCTGGCAGCAGCTCGTTAGGGCCGGAGAGGTCAGACAGCTTGGAAACGTCCCAGGGGAAGGGAAAAAGGCATTTCCTCCAGATCCGCTCCGATGAGCAGCAACTCGACTGGTACTAAACTGGATTAGATGAGCGTAAGTGGGGAGCTGCTGGCCCGCGCTGGAGGAATTAATTATTAGGAAGTGCTAATTGTCTTCTAATTGTACACAGAGGAGGGGCCTCCAAGGAATGGGATGGACGAGGTCAGGAGGCGGTGATGCTCCCAGAGATCCGGGGCCTTTCAGCTCTGCCGCATCCCCTCCTGCCGATGGGATTCACCTCCTGGGAGAGCGGAGCCGGGTTTGTGTGGGTGCAGGGACCCCTTGGTGGGACTTTGCAGCTCCTTCATGCCCGGCTGCGGGCACCTGGGGTGAGTGACACACCTGGAGTCTTCCCCATCCCATCTCCAAGGCTTAGGGATGGGACAAAGTACCCAGGTGCTACCCTCCTGACCCCCAGGTTGCTCTTCCAGGTGCTGGCTCAATTAAAAAATAATCCGTGGTTAAAAAAAAAAAAAAAAAAAAAAAAGCCCAACAGCCCAGATGCTGATGTGCATAATTGGACCCCCCTCGGAGGGTTTGCATCCCCAAAGCCTCTCCTGGCACCGCTCTGCAGGTCCTTCCTGCCTCGCTGGGAAACAACGGATCCCTTTATTTTTTTAAGGATCTGCCAAACCAGAAGTGGCTGGCTCACGAGCATCCCTCCCCACCGGGCCATTTCAGGGCCAGATCCTGCACCCGGCTTGAGGGAGCAATGCCATCTTGGTTAAAGGCATCATCTTCCCTGAGCTGTGCATGGCAGAACCCATGGAGCTCACCCTGTGTCCCTGGGGAGCTCAGGGGGGAGGTGAGGCTCTGGTGGGACGGGGTCTTCACTGCTCCAGCAACGGGGGAGAGCCAGGGCTGGGGGAGCTGCTGCCTTCAGCCTCCCCCCCAGGGACTTTCTCCTCCTGGCGTTCTGGGATTTGGGGGTTTCATTGGCTTCGAGCGTGTTGCAAGATTTAACCTTCTCGGGGTGCTGCAGGCTGATCCCTTGCTCCAGCCAGATCTCAGCAGCTCCCCCGGTTCACCAGATCCGTGCAGACCTCAGCGCCCCTGCAGCTCCAACAACCCGCCCTGCAACGTGGGGAAAATGCCAATTTCCAGCATTTTCTGCCCAAAGCCATCCCATGCAGGGGGCCTGGGGCACCCGGAGGTACACACAGAGGTCGCTGGATGCTTTAAACCCACTTGCAAGTGGAACAGAGCCGCAGCAGAGCCGGGCTTCTCCTTCCCTTCCCACCTCCTCGCTCGGCTTCCCGAGGGCAGCGCCTTCCTTCGCAGCCCTCTGCACGGCTTTCGGGGCTTGTGCAGCACCCGCTGGAGGGGAGGTGTTAAAAAAAATAAAAATAAAATATTGTAAAAGGGGTTCAAAGGGTTTCAAAAGCTTCTTGTACTCAGCTCGTGGACACAGCAGTGTGGGACGCCGCGCGAAGCTCCTGCCCCACGCCACAACAGGAATCCAGCACAGAGCGCCGTGGGGACCTGGCGGGGGGGGGGGTGGGGGACCCAGCATGGGGCTGGGGGTCCCCAAGCATCTCCCGTGTACCCCAGCCACGTTTTGGGGTGAAGTTGGCACCCTGCATGGGGGGGCTCCCACACGGGACACACCACACACCGCTCCCCGCCACCTCCTTGGCACCGCTCCCGACACCTTGCCCCCAAACCCCCCGTACCCCCAGAGCTCCCCAAACCCCCCAGTGCCCCCTAAACCCCCCAGATCTCCCCAACCCCCCCCAGAGGCCTCCAACCCCTCCCAGTGCCCCTGAAGCCCCCTCCCCAAAAGCACAGCCGAAGCCCTGGCGCTGTGCAGCGGGCTGGGGCTCCCTTCTCGGGGGAGGGGGTCCCTTCATGGAGGAGTCCCCTTCCCGGGGGGGGTCCCTTCTCTTTCCCAGCCCCAACCCCGGCCCCATAATCCCCCCCCCGGCTCTCCAGGGCCCGTCCCACCGGCGAGGGCAGCTCGGCTCCCGCTGACGCAGTGTCTGAGGCCGGCCCTGGCTCCCCCCCCCCCCCGCCCCTTCCACCTCCGACTTTTTTTTTTTTTTTTTTACTATATTTTCTTAACTTTTTTTTTTTTTTTTCCCTCCTCTTTTCGGCGTCCCTCCCTCCTCCTCCTCCTCCTCCTCCTCCACCTCCTCCCCCTTCTTCCTCCCGCCCCCCTCCGCTTCGTCCCCTCCTCGGCCGAGGGAAGCGGCGAGGCCCCGGCTCGGAGCGGAGCTCGGCGGGGCAGCTCCGGGCATGGGGCGCCCCCGGAGGCCGCGGCCTCTGCGAGCCTCCCTCGGCTGCCTCCTGGGCCTCCAGCTGGTGCTCGGCGCCGCGCACCCAGGTGGGACCGCGCCCCCCCCCCCCGCCGGCAGTTTGTGGGGTGGGGGGGGGCCAGGAGCGATGCAGCCTCACGGGGAGACTCCTAAATCCAACCCCCCCCCCCCCCCCACCCACCCCAAAATCCTCCCCTCTCAGCCCCCGGGGCGCTACGCGGGGGTCCCCGGCCGTGGGGAGGGCGGGGGCCGCTGGGCTCCGGGAAGGTTTTTTTATTTTTTCTATATTTTTTTGGCTTTTCCACCCCCTCGCTTTTCTTCGCTTTCCCCTCGGCTCCTTTTACTCCATCTCCCTCCGGTCGCCTTTGGGACCGCCGCGTTTTGTTTTTAGCCCCCGCCGCCGCCTTTGGTTTCGCCGCCTTTTTTTTTTTTTTTTTTTTTTTCGAGCCGCCGCCGTTTTTTTGGGGCTTTTTTTTTTTTTTTCCCCTTCAGTTCCCTGCTCCGTGCGGCCACGCAGCGCCTGGAGAGCTCGGGGGAAAAGTTTCCGAGGCTCCGGGGGGGGGTCGGGGAGGCTCCGGGATGGGGCCGGGGGGGCTCCGGGACCAGGGGGTGGCAGCGGCCCCCAGCCCCGCTCCGGGCTTTTGTCTCCCCGGGGAGGGGCTGAAGGGGTTATTTTTTGGGGTTCCTCCTCCTCCCACCGCGTCCCACCCCAAAACTCTTCATCCCACGTCCAAGTGGGTATTTGCAGACTTCCTTTTTTGCAGGACTTTCACAATAAATCGTGGCTCTTGGGGCTTTTTTTTAGCACCCTCCGAAGACACCATGTGCCAGACGCCGGGGGCTCCTGGGGCCGCTCCCATCCCCGGCGAAGCCATTTCAGCCCCTTCATCCCGGGACAGCCCGGTGCAGCACCCGTTGGGTTGCTCCCTTAGGTTCATTTGTCCCTATCGAGAAAACTTTTTTTCTTTTATTATTTCATTTTTAAAAAAATGAAAAAAATTCGAAATTGGCTACTTCTGCCCGAACAACAACAAACGTAAACCCTTGGCCTATTTTATTAGAGTACGCTCAGCAAATCCAAAGCAGATTTGGAAATGGCAGGATGGGAGGCGCTGCTGCCCTCCTCCCCCCGGCCCCCCGCTCTCCCCCGTGGCGTTTGCCAGCAGGGGACAAGGAGCAGGGACAGGGAATGGGGACAGGGAATGGGGACAGGGAGCTGCCACCTCGGCCAGGGGCAGAGCAGGGTTTTTGGTCCCGTTGCGGTGCAGCGTTTGGAGGCAGCCCGGTGCCAAGGGCAGGATTTGGCCCAGGAGCGTAAAAAGAGGCACAGCTGGGAGAAACGGCCTAAAAATTGGGGAAAGGGACGGGGTGATGGGGAAGAGATCCTCATAGTGCTGGGGCACTCGGTCGAGGTTCTGCTGCTGCGTGGGGACCATCTCCAAAGAACTTTCCTGAGCCGAATCCCCGTTAACGCTCCTCTCGTCCCCGCAGACACTTTTTCTCGAGGTCGCGAATCCCCCCCCTTTTTGCAGTGTCCTGGGGGGGTGCTGCTGGATTTCTGCAGGGCTCGGCCACCCGTCGGGCCCGATCCCGGCTGCTTTGCTGCTGGAAGCAGCCAGGTCTGGCGCGTTCCCCTCGCCCGCGTGACGCCGAGGACAGAGGCAGCTCTGTCCCTGCGGTCGGTGGGAGCGCGGCGAGGTGGGAGCGCGGCGGCGAGCGGCGGTCCCGCGCCGGGGCCGGGGAGGAACAAGGAGGCTTTGAGCTCCCCCAGGCCAGGTTTCGTTGCTGGTTGGACTGGGGTGCGAGGCTGCTGCGGGGCTGGGAACGCCATTTATTATTGTTTATTCTGTAGGGGATGGGATTTCAGGGCGTTTGCCGGTCCTCCAGGGAGCCCCGCAGAGCCTGCGGGTGCTGTTTGCCTTTCTGCACCTCTCTGTCCCTCCCTGCTCATTTTCCCTGGGGTCTCTCCATGCTCATTCAATTCCCTCCACCCTATTCCCCGTTTTTCCGCTGCCCTCCCCAGCATCTTTCCCTGGCTGGGACCTGGGATGGGGACAGGGGACGGCGCTGACGGAGCTGCCACGTCCCAGGTGCCTGCTGCTGAGGTCTCCAGTGCTGAGTGTGCAGCTGGGAAGGATCCTTGCTTGGGTTTGGGGATCAGTCCCCGATGTCCCCTTAGCGAGCTGCCTTTGGAAGGATGCTCTCCGCATCCAGGTCCTTGGTGGGGTCCTTGGGGACCTCGCTGGTGGCGTCGCTTTTCCCCTGCCGGTGCGGAGCCTCCCCGTTGCACCGGGAAAGGCTGAAAAAAATGTAAATTTTGGGAAAACTCTGCCCAGCCAAACCGCGCAGCTCCCCTGCATGGGGCCGAGTGCCTGTGGCTGAAGGCAGGGGCTGCCACGGCGGCTTCGCGGGGCGGGGAGGGGGCGGAAGGGACCCAGGGAAGAATTTACAGCCTTTAAAATAAACACGGCAGGCTTCGTGCGAAATTCTCCCCGTTTTCCTCTTTGCAATGGAAATAGCTTATTGCACGGCCAGTGTGGCTCTGATAAATGATAACCGGGATTATTCGGGAGCAGGAAGGGGGAACAGCGGTGTTGGATTTGGGGTAAAAGCCCCACAGCCTGGTGCTGGGCCGGGGGAAGCCAGGAGCTCGCCTGCAGCCTCAGCAGGCAGCCGGGCTGAGAGGAAGAGGCAGGCAGAAGAAGGGATTGCTTGCGCAAGAATTAAAAGAATGACAAGCAAACGAGATTTATTGCTTAATGCAAAGCTGCCCCCTGCCCCCGAAGCCACCCAGAGCCGTGCGATGCCCAGGGATATTTCCCATGTGCTCGACGTGAAGGTGCTGCCCCCATCCTGGGCTGGCTCCCATGGCGAGGGTCGGGATCAGCATTTGGGGTGACCCCGACCTGCCCCACGCCTTCCTATGTGCAGCCGCATTTTTATTTTAACCCATAAACCGCAAGCAGACGTTCTCGAGCCGTTACAACGTAGCCTGGCCTCGCGGCTCCTTGTGCAGTCCTTCCCATTCAAGATTTCTCGGGGAAAAATGAGCCGTGAAATCAAAGCAAATGGCTGCTGATGGCTGGGATCGCTGCCGGTGGGATCCGCTTTTCCAAACCCGTAGCAGCAGATCCCAGCTCTGATACCCTGCGTTGGCTGGGGAAGGGCAGCGGGCGCTGCTCAGGTCGGGTTTGGGGCGTGCAGCCAGCGATGATTTCGGGGTGGCGACACAGGCGCACGCGTGGCGGCCGCGCTCTGCTCCGGCGAGCCGCAGGATTCCTGCTGCTGCTCCTCACGTGCAGCCGGGGAGCAGGGTTTTAATTAATTTGAACCGTGCCGAGCCCGCGGAACATCACATTTTTCTCATTCTTCGGATTGCTTGGAGCCCAAAAGGGACCCACACAGATGCTCCTTTTCTTAAAGGACCCATCTTTAATTAATTAAGGGTTAGCAAATGATTAGTGGGTTGACTTGCAGATTCTTGAGCGAGCTCTCGAGCCCGGGAGGGGAGGTCTGGGTGCTTGCAGGGGGCACGAGGCACTTTTCAGACCCGACGCTTCTCGTGTCCCAGTCCCAGGGAGAGCTGAGTGCTGCGTTGTGCCTTGTGCTGTCACAACAGGAACACAAATGGGATTTTTCCTGTAAAACAGCATGTCTGCAGGATGGAGATTAAAATGGGAACTGGGGAGATGGAGAGCTTCTGTGCTCCCCGTGTGAATCCCAACACAGCGACTTTGTGCTCTGCAAAATGGCCCCATTAACCCCAGCACCCTCTGTGAACATGGGACAAGCAAATAGAAGAAAAACTTCATTTCAACATCTTGTCCATTAAAAAAGAAAAAGTAGATATTTCTTTGGGGCACCTGGAGCCTGATCTGTGCCGTGCGAGCACGCCTGGTTTTGCTAAAATGGAGCTTAATGGGCACTGGTGGCCCAGGTTGGGGTGTTAGCGTGAGGAATGATGCTGGAGAAGCAAGGAAGGAAATAATTGTGCATGGTTATCAGTGTTTGTTATTACTGTGTTTATTAGTGTTGAAAAAAGTGCTACTTTTCAGGCAATTGCTACACCCCGTTTACGGGGATGTGCATCGGGGCTCTTCTGCCTGGCCCTGGAGCCGAGCTGGGGGAAATTTGGGGGGGAAATCCAGGTGCTAGGCATGGAGGGCTGATGCTGGGACTTGTCCCCTTCCACGGGTGGGTTAAGTCGCTTGGCCTGCCCACGGGTAGCATCCCCCAGGGAACAGGGCCCGAAGCTTTTGTCTGCATCCCCAGACGGGTGCGGGGACAACAGACCTAACGCCTGCATGGCCCCGATCCGACAGCTCCCTGAGGCAGCAGAAAACAAGCAGGGAGGTGGGTGGCCTCCTGGGGTTGCAGCCAAGCACGGAGCTCATCCTGACAGGCTCCCACCCCATAAACCACCGGTGGCTGTTTGCACCGCCGCAGGCTCTGTGCCGCTCCAGTTGCGGGTCCTGGTGCTGCACGCCCGCATTGCGAGCTTTGCTGTCATCCCTATGACAAGGGACCTGGCCTCTGAGGTTTATTAAAATTTAAAAACCACCACCAGCAGCAACAGAACCCCTCTTTTATCCTGGTGCTTGGGTTTGAGTGCTCGGAGCTGCCTGCTGCTGCGTCCTGGGGATGCCATGGGCCATGGGTACTGCAGCTGCGTTTGTCACCGCTGCATTCCCAGCCCTTGGAGGGCTCCTTCCTTGGGCTCCCTTTGGCCAAAAATTGCCCTTCATGACC